ATGCATTGCCGTGCTGCGATCGGAAAAAATGGCAGTAACAGGGGGCGACTGGATACTGTGTTTTCGGTGGCGCGACTAGGTTGCATGTGTTAGCGAGCCTTGTGAAAACCGCAATCGTGCAAACCCAGCATGTCGTGTACCCCCCTCGGCCAGGGGCCCCAGTGCATTAGCCCTAAGTAGTGATTGTGCGCAATGCAGACTGTGAGCGCGTGCGTGGCGGTTCAGCATGCAAGCGTGCGACCACCGCTGCGCCAGTTAAAACAATTAGAGATCATGAGGGAAATGCGCGTTGTGGTTGTTGAGCGTCTAATGTGCCAGATATCGCCAGCAATGCGGGCCCCCCCCCCCCCCCCTCTCCCACCGCGCCCGCAGGTGCTTTGTTGCTGGCCGGCGGCGGACATCGCCGACTCGCTGGCGGCATCATCATCGCGGAGGTGTATAGGTCCTAAGTGGAAGTGGCATTGCAGCTCGGCAGCGCCGATGCCCCTTGTCGCGGCAACGACGCCCGTGGCCGCGAATTTGCGGCGCTGCATGTTACCTTTTGTTCTAACCGAGACGCTTCCAACAATGGCTGAGGCCCCAGGTGAGCCATCGGCCCCAGGTGAGCCACGCTAAGCAAGTGCGCCAGGTTGCCCAGTCGAGTTCGGAGCGCCTCGCGCATTGACGGCGCCGAGAGCGCGCAATTGGGGCGCCATGCGCGTTCGATGCGCCGAACGCGCCGCCTCGAACCAGCGCGCTGCGCGAGTTAGGACCACCCCACGCAGCGTCGATCGAGCAATGACACAATGCGGGAACGGCGCACGGGCCGCTCGGTGCGACGGCGCCAATCGGCGCAGGCGGCAAACGCCGCGGTCGGGCACGCGCGCGATGCGCAATTTGCGCGGACTGCGCGGCCCGCATGGCGAGCGCGCGCCGCGCGCTTGGTGCACTGAGCGCTTCCCTGGCGCGCCCGCCGCGGCAATTGCTAGCGGCGCATCCCGCGCACTTGCTGAATCCAAGCGCGCGGGCGCGCACTAAGCGCAACCTGCTTCGGTTACCAAGGCCCCGAGCACGTCGGCCGAATTTGTTGGCACCGCGCGTCCTGCGCGTTGAGGGCGGCTCCCTGCGCGCGGGAGCGCGCGCCTTCAAGTCGTCTTCTATTCCGGAAGCGAGCCGAGCTGTTGCTGCGCGCCGCTGGCATTTGTCGGCGCCGCCCTGCGTTCGGGCACGCTCTCAGCATCGCGACGCTTCAAGCCGAAGCGACAATCTCCAAGGCACCCGAGGAGTTGCCTGCCCATGTTGACTACCTTCCTGCTCTTGACTACCCCTGTGGACTACTGCCCCCGATCTTGACGTCCCCAGTTGACTTCCCCCATCCGATCTTGACGTCCCCTGTCGACTATGTATATTGGGCGTTGCGTCGTGGCGTTGACTACGTCTTCGCGTCTCGACTACCCCCCTTGACTACCCCCCATGACTACCCTCGACGCTCTTGCCTACCCCCCTTGACTACCCTTTTGTTCTTGGCGGCAGTCCTGCGCGTCTGATCGCGCGTTAATGCCATGCCTTTACTCGCTCGCCTCGAAGTAGTCGCATGCGTTTACTCTCGGACGCCACGGTTACTGGCCCCTCCTAATTCTGCTCGAGCGCCGACGCGTCGACCTGCGACGTCTTGTCGCGCGGAGCAACGGCCGTCGCGTGATTCGCGCCCCCTAGCGAAGCCCGCCGCCAGAGCTGGACTGCAGCAGGCGGCTCAATCTCCTACAGCCGCCACCTGACAACGCCCTTGCGCGGATTGACCTCCTGACGCCACGGCTTGCCAATGTCGCTGCGTGCGGCCACCGGCACGGCGCGTCTACATCGCGCGATCGTTTTGCCAGCCGCGCATTCCGCGGGCGCGCTCCGCGGGTTTGCGCTGGGCGAACTTAGCGCGTTCAGGCGCTCGTGGCGCGCCTTGCACCTCTCGCGCATGGCGCACGCTGCGCGCGCGGCTCTTTGCCTCCAGAAACGGCATGGCGCAAGCCGCTCGCGCTCGACTTCTGCGGCCTTGGCAAGCACGTCGCAGGGCGCGTTGTGCCGCGCCAAATGGCTCGCACTTGCACTTCTAAGGGCACTCGTGGCGCTGCGACCTCCACGTCGCGACGTGCTGCCCCGATGCGCCAATCGTTCGTGCGTTGCGCGATCGGAGCTTCCGCGCGGCGCTTGATCAAGCGCAAGGCGGCGGCGCGCCCGCGCGCCGCGTCGCAGTGGCCAACGATAGCGCGCGTGCGCGCGCCGCCACCAGTGCTCGCAACGCAGCCCACTTAGACCATATCCGTAGTGGGCAGTGGGTCGCGCGTGCGATCGAACCAACTGCTTAGTTGGCGAGCTGGCCCCCCCTCCCCCCCTGCCCATGCGCGCCGCCTGCCACCGCGGACGCGCGCGCAACCAACGAACGCGCTCAACTGCCGCATGCCACCGCCCGGCTGCCCGCCCGCGCACAAACGCCGCGCGCGTCCCTCGCGCATGCCACCGCGACCGCGCCTCCTTGCACCCAATCCCCAGCCCACCCCGCCGCGCGCCGCCACCACTCCACGCCACGAGCGCGCCGGCCAGCCCTTCCATCACCGCCAAATAATAGATCATCCGCCCACTCGCGCCTACTCACCCACGACCACCTCCACCAACCAGCCGCCAACGCACCTACCCACGTGCCTCCCACGTAGCCAGTGTCGTTCAACGATGTGAAATGCTGGATGGCACATGCATTCGGTGCACGTGCCGATGCACGCATGCAGGCGCAACCGCAAAGCTACTCCGCCGCCCGCCCGCCCCTTCGCCAACCCCGCGGATCGCCTGCGCGCGCGCGCAAGCGCCACCCCACTCAACGTGGCACACCAATATTTGAAACATCTCGGCCCGCACAAGTGTTCGAACCATGCGCCTGGGCCTGGTTCAAACACAAGAAGGAGAACGCTCGCGCGCGCGCCCTACTGCCACCAACGCACCCGCAACCATCAACTCACCCGCCGCGCGATCGTCTTCCCCCTCCACCACGCCGCCGCCGCCGCGCGCGCACTCACGCGCGCCCATCTACACATCCGAGCATGCACGCACTCGACAGTCCTTGACGATCGCACAAACAAGTCTGGTCGCGCGGGCGTCTGCGTCGCACCCGCACGGCGCGCCGCCGTTGCCGCGCATTCACTCGCCCACCCGTCCACCCCCTTTGCTGCGCCGCTGCCGCTCGCTCCGCGCGCAGCCCCACGTGCCCGCGCCAGCTGGCCCACCCGAAATATCCAAACATTGTCGAGCCGTTTCTGTCCAAACGGAACGCGCGCACGCACGCGCGCACGCGCGCGCGGACGTGCATCGCCACCAACGCACCACCATTCGCCCACCCACCACCGCACCGACTTACCCGATCTGCGCTCGCCCACCGAACCCGCTCACCTACGCCCACGCACGCATCAACCCACCCACCGACCCAACACGTTTCAACTAAATTAGAAGATGTTAGGTCGCACGGGCGCGCGGGCCACATGCCTTGTCGAAACACTACTACAACGCACGCATGTACGCACGCGCACACGCCACCACAACCCCGCAACCGCCCCCCCCCCCCCCCCGACCCAAACGCTGAATTGTAGTAGCATGCGCAACATTACGATTGTTCGACGTGTTACGCCAGCCGAAGACTTAGTATGACTTTATTGAAGAGTGGGTTTTCGCATTTGCATAACATATCAGGAAGGGAAAGGAAGGGGGCCAACGAGGGAGGGAGGTAAGCTGGTGGGGGAGGCAGAAGGAACGGCCCGGCAGAGAAGGCAGGGCACAAGTGAGAACAGGGCGAAGAAGAGCCCAAGGAAGAGAAGACAAATAGAGAAGAGAGAGCGAGAGAAAGAGAGAGAGAGAGAGAGAGAGAGAGAAAAAAAAAAGGCCCTTCTCGCTTCCCTTTGCCGCCCGCTCGCTTTCATTTTGCGGCCCTCTCGCGGTGGGCGCGGCGGCGGGCCGAGGCGCGCCCTGCGCGCGGCGCCCTCGCCTTGCCCCGCGCGCGCAAGGGGGCAGGATGAATGGGGGGGAAGGGGGGGGGGGGGGTGGGCAGGGAGGAAGAGGGGGGAGGGGGGGGAGGAAGAGGGAGGAGGAGGCCGATGAGGAGAAGGATAATGAGGAGGAAAGGGCGCGGCCTCCTCCTGGTTCTGCACCTTTGTCTCGCTGTTGTCATTCCTCCTGCCCGTCCCATCCCTGCTTCTCTTTTTCCTTGCGTTGCTGCTGCTGTCGCTGCTGTTGATGCTGAGGATCCCCTTACTTCCCTGCCGCTCCTCTGGGGGCCCGCCGTGCTCGGCCTCTGGGGGGGGGGGGGGGGGGGGGGGGGCGCCGCGCCCGGTTTAGGTGGGGGCCCCGAGAGGGGTGCGGCGATGGAAAACGGGGTCGGGGCGTCGCAATGGCACCCCCGCGCGCAGAATCAGATTCGCCACCCCCTAGTTCCCTTCTGCGAAATAAATTCAAAGCCCCCGCGGTTAAATTCAAAGCCACCGCCCCCCGCGGCACCCCCCGCGCGTAGAATTAGATGTCACCGTGTGCCCCCCAGGGAAATATACTTGCAGATCTCCTGATGTGAAAAGCCCCCCCGTGCACCTCCTCCTGACCCCCCTCCGCCCCCCGTTGCCGCTTTGGCTTTAGGAGCGTTCTCTTCAGGAGCTGTCTGACCTGAATATGACCGCCGCGCTGCTACCTCCAGCGAGCAGGCGCCAGCAGCATGAGCGCTGCTGATATTGCGGCTAAAGCGGAGCTTGATGATCTGGCGACGCGCCTAGCAATGACGATTTCGAGATGCCCGGCTTCGAATCAGCTCTCGGACGCGTGGGGTCGCCAGCTGCTTCGTTGCCTGCCAAGTCCGAGAAGCAGGAGCCGCGGGAAGCCAGCGCCGTTGCCTCAGCGAGCTCCCATCACGAGAAGCGAGAGAAGACTGAGGAGAAGCAGGCATGCCAGAGCAGGGAGTCAGAGGATCCTAGGGCCGTCTTGCACAGGGAGATGACCAGCACAATGAAAGCATGATGCGCCACTCTGGTATCAAACCACCGACCACCAAGCCGAAGATGGCCACCACCGTTGACGACGACACCTGCGATCACACCCAGACCCACGTAGTCGACTCGGAGGGCGAGATTACTATCGACGGCGTCCCGATCAACGAACACTCTCTGGACTCCAACCTCCCCTCAGGACCGCAGTGCACGTCGCTGCTCATCCGCGCTACTATCAACAATTACACGGCGCGGTTGTGTCTGCCAGGATGGTTAGATAGTTTCAAGCTTGGCACGGTGCTGGCGTTGGCAAGGAAATTGAGCAAATACAAGATGCAAATTCTGGGGCATAGCACTTTCGACATGCAGGTTGCGGTTTTACAATTGGAGGCGAGGTTGCAAGCACTGATCGACCTATTCAAGGCAGTGAAAGCGTGGCTCGGGGCTCAAGACGAAGCGCTCCTTGCCGAGTGCATGCCGCACTTCTCCATCGTCCTGGGCTTCATGGATGCGAAAGATACCACCATGGCCGAGGACGCGTGCACCGTCTACGCTTACGCTACTTCCCAGTCGACGGCGCGGTACTACGGAAGCGTCCAGCGTGCCTTGAAGATGATGCCGTCCGATTTCTTCTCTCGCTTGTCGTCCATGAGCAGCATGGGGCATGACGTCCCAGATGCCAGCGCGGAGGAAGGGCCCCCCCCCAGGCAGATGCGCCAGCAGGCGAAGCCGAAGTTCTTGAAGTTGCAGATGGGGGTGGGCAGCGGCAGCCCAAGAAGCAGAGGGAGAAGGTCGCAGTTATCTTGCCTAGCTCTCGCGTCGTTCTCGGCGCAAGCCCTTGGCATCGCATGACTACCTTGGTTTCGGGGGCCATTCGCCCCTAGGCGTTTCCTGTGAAGGCCGAGCTTTTGAAGGACAGTGCGAAGACTACAGGGGTCGCCGGCGACTTCCACAGCATCCTGAAGATATGGAACGAAAAGCTCGTGAAGAAAACATCCCGCGATCTCGAGGCAACGTTCACTAATGTGTTGCCCGCCATCCACGTCATCGCGCAGTGTAGCTTGCCCCTGGAGAGATCAAGACCGGATCCCGATGACGCGCGAGCTGCGCGCCGAACTACCCTCGAGACAGTGCGGTTGAGTGGTAACCAACGGCAGAGCTTGCTCAGATCATGGTCAGCTACGTGGCGCCGAAGATGCTCATGGAGATCCCCAGGCTCCACGTCCAGCAGAGCGCCGAGGACTCCACTGCTACCTCGAGCTTCACCCGCGCCCTGCAGCACTTCGAGAAGACCTCCGGCGCGGCGTTCAATGATATCGAGCCCTGGCGGGATACATTGATGGGGCAGTGCGACGGGAACCTGAACATCGTGAAGGACTTGTTTCAAGAGCTTGGGTTGCTCTTCGCTGGGGTTAAAGGTCCATCGAGCAGGTGGCCAACAGCTGGAGTGCATTCGAACGTCGACACGGTGACCGACTGCCTCGCCAACGCGATCGAGATGCTCAGGTGCGGGACCTCTCGATCCACGCCTTCTGGGATGCGATCGGCAAGAAGCTGGACAACTGGAAGACTCTCCTGACGGACTACCGCTCCGTGAACGACGCGCTCCAGAACGCCGCGGACGCGACTGAGCAAGACCGAGAGCACTGGGAAGATCAGCTTCGACCTGTGACCTGCGACCTCAAGGATATCGAGGGCAAGTTGGACGAGTACCAGAATAGCCTGACTGCGTGCGCGGACCTCCTCGCGGACATGCACAACCGCTGGTGGGGCTGCATGATGGCCTTCTTGTCTCGTGCAGGCAGCAAGGCCAGCGGAAAGTTCGACGAGGCGGATCTTTCGAAGGTTTATTTCGAGCTTGTCCTCGAGAACACTGCGATTCAGCTCAAGGACTTCACGGGGCACATCAAGCTGGCCATTGCGCATTGCCGTGGAGGCCCACGCTTCACTGCCTGGGGCATCGGAGCAGTTCGAGGCGGATGGCATTCATCAGCATGGCGCAGCTCAGGAAGGATATTAATTTGATGGGAACGCGGTGCTTCAGGATCGCCAAGTGCACGGTGACAGAGGAGAGCGTGGTCAAGGAGGTGATCGAGCAGATGCAGTCCTTCATCGGTAATCTTGGCGACTGGGGACTTGGAACGATGGTCGATACGTGTGGCGTCGAGGGCTCATGGGCGGGCATCCCCGGTAGCCGCCCAACGTTACTCGATCTCCCCTCCCCGTCTGAGATGGGGAGGGGGAGATCGAGAAAGGGTGGGCGGCGCTGCGGATGCTGCGCCCCGTCTGCATAGGTGATGGCATCTACCATCGTGGTGCTGATCAACTGGTGGAGTCGGCGATGGCGAGCGTCGAGCTAGCACCGAGGTTCACGGCAAGTGAGATCCATAAGGAGGTGATCTCTGGGGCCAGGGCCCCGTCGATCTTCCAGGTGCTCTTTCGCGACGTGACCAGCCTCGACTACCTTCGCATCCAAGAGTTGTCATTTGGCGCTGAGGTTGGCACAGACCAGTTTGCGAAGCTTGCGCGCAACGTGGCCCAGAAGAGCTTGATAGACTTCGCCAATGCCAGCAGCTTGAGTACGATCCCCATGCCTACTTGCGTCTGCCTGAGGGACGATAATGTGAAGGACATGCCGCAAGCAGATGCGTTGGTGCTCATTGAGCTTTCCAACAAGACGAGGGACCTCTCCGCGTGCTGCGCTTCGCTCCAAGGAATGTTGTTCAAGAACGTGGCTGGAATGGAAACAATGGCCATCGATGAAGACACGCTGCGCGATGTCACGATCTACTTCCAGGTCGCAGTCGCCAGCAACATCGTGAAGCTCGACAAGGCGCTCAACTCTGAGGCGGCGCTGGCGCTGGAAGGGAATGGATGGGAGATCCCGCTGGACCTTCAATCTCTCCGCGGGCGGTTAAGCAACGTGGCGTGCTTCTGCAGAAAGGCGACCGACCAGCTGCTCGAGATCACGGCTGGCCACCTGCAGGTCCTGGCAGACAAGTGCAAGGAGAGCATCCCCCCATCGGGGGCAGCTTTCAACCAGGGCAAGATGGATGTGGAAATGGCGAGCCGCATCTTCAGCGACACACTTGGGAATGTCATCCAACAGTACACTGCGCTCCACAAGTGCCTCAGCAGGACTTCATCTGCAGGGCGGGTACTGAACGCCACGTCAGACGCGCAGAACAACGAGATCACGTCGCAGGCGGTTGCCGTCGGCATCGAGATGCTGGCCAGGGGGTTCAGATGGGGGCAGCGCGCGATGATGAGGCGGAGGAGGGGCAAGGAGGACGAGGAGGGAGGGGGGGGGGTGGGGCCAGGGCACCAAACCAACACCGGTTTAACTCACGAGGGTGGAAGGCGGAGGATGACAAGGATGAGAGGGGAGGGGGTGGAGGACTCAGGCGCGATCTCATCGTATGCGCGTTGCGCTTTCTTGAACCCCCCACAGGGAACAAGCAAACCAGGCCGTGGTCATGATGAGGGGGGCGACCTTGCTGACGGAAGTCGGCAACAAACCAGATGGCGGTGCCAAGGCTGAGGCGTTCTTGAAAAAGCACAGGATTCCAAAGAACGACGCCATTCTCGAGGCCTTCTGGAGTGAACTGGTTGCGCTGTCCCATCAGTGCTGTTCTGGGGGAGCCGTTTCGGACGTTGGCGGCGATAAATATGGTGGCGGTGATGTGAAGTCTCAGAGTGGGTCGGTGTTCGGTGGCAGTTCTACGGCCACGCCAGCTCCGAAACAGAAGCAGGGTAGTAGCGCGGGCAGCGCGGCGAAGTACAAGGATGTGAAAACTGAGTCTGCAGAGGATGCGCTTTTCGACGATGTCCCGCCATACTCAAACCCAGAGGGCAGGGGGCACTGCTCCCGCAGCAAGCCGCAGACGACGGCCAGGAAAGGCCTGCGCCGCTGCTCGCAGGTAGGGCGCTGCTGCAGCAGCGACGGGATGAGGGAGGGGGGAGGTTTCGCAGGAAGGTTGATGCAGCGGGGGTCGTCGTGCCATTTTGCAGCCAAATCCTCTCCTACCCCTTCCTCCTGACCCCTCCCCCCCCCCCCCCCCCCCCCCCCCCGCCCGCAGTTTTCAAGCGTTTGATGTCGCCCGCCCCCTTAGCCTTGAACGCCAGCGTTCTCAGATGTCTTTCCAGGGCCCACCTCCCCCCCCCATGGCGAGGGGGAGAGGCAATGGACAGGGGCAGGAGGAGATGAGCGAAGAGGAAGCAGGGCAGAGAAGAGCACGCTCGCTTTTGCTGACTTCCCACTCGATGGGGACCTCGCGCGATGGGCCGTGGCACCGCATCCTGTTTCGCAATCCTCGGTCTCCCCCCTTCTCCCTCCAGCCGCCTGCAGTCGCGACCGGTGGGCTGCGAGCTCAGTCCGGCAAGGTGGCTCCAGCGCCGAGGATGAGGGGTTTAAGAACAACGAAAAACCCATGCAAATCTCTCATTGTCCGAAGCCGTCCTGCCTACTTGCCCTTCATTGCCCCGCCGTCACTTATCCTGACCTTTGCTCTCTCCTGCGCTCTCCTCCTCTCCTGTTTCATGTGTGCCCCTGCCGTCTTCCTCTCCAGATATGCCTCGCTCTGCTTCGTCATCCTCCTGGTCCTTCTTCTGCGCAGCAGTTCGAATGGAGCTCAGTTTCGGACGCCTCGCACGGGGCCTGCCCTCGGGCGAGGGCGAGAGCGACGACGCGAAGAACGGGGTCACGAGTGGAGAGGGGGAGAGGGGGAGGAAGAGGATGGATGAGAAGAGGAATGGGGGGGAGGAGGGGGAGGAGAAGAAGGAGAGGAGGGGCAACGATGAGAACGAGCAAAGGCAATTATAGACCCGCCCTCTTTGGACAGATGCCCGATTAACCCTGCCATGGACTTGGGTTGCGAAGGCAGCGCGTATTACGTTATTTGCCACGTTCCTTGTAAGGTGGGTGAGGTAGCCGATTGTCGTGCGTAAGTTTCGTTTCGACGACCCCCTTGCGGGCCCCCCTGACGACCCCTCCCGTCTTGGCGCTGGGGGGGCCC